AACAGCACAGAAATTATAGACTACAGTTTTTTAAAACTAGATGACTGCTGCTTTTCTTTAGTTACAAGCTTTGCGGGTTTGCATGTGGCGTTTATTTTGCATATATGTAGACTTGTAACATGGGAAATTGATTTACAAAGCAGCAAATGAATCATAGCATGGTTTGGATTGGAATGAACCTTGTAAATCATTTAGTTCCAGCTCCCCTGCTATGGGCATGGACATCTTCCATGCCTTCCACCACCACACCAGGTTTTTCAGGGCTCCATCCAGCCTGGCCTTGAACACTTCCAGGGATGAGCATCCACAACTTCCCACTGCAACCTGTGCCAGGGCCTCACCACCCTCACAGGAAAGGCTTTTTCCCTATTATCTATTTATTATGCACCTCCCCTCTTTCAGTTTTAAGTTATTCCCCCTTGTCTTGTCCCCACATGCTCCTGTACAAGGTTCCTGTCCATCTCTCCTGTGCTCTGCTGACCGGTTTGTCACACATGGTTACACTGGGGACACGGTTCATCTGAGCACACACTTCAGGCCTTGCCCATGTTAGGGGGGCTCTGCAGAGGATGGTGGTGTGGAAACCTTGGATTTAATGTTATCAGTGATAGCCAGACTGTGGGAGGGACAATTCTGCCGCTATATCTGCATCTTCCCAGACAAAGTAGGAAATATTCCCTGTCAGCGTAGTTGCGATGGCACCAGGGTGCTTTGTGGTACTTTATTGGCATGTCCTGGGGAATTCTTTGCAGCTGAAAGTGTCTTGTTCCCTTTCACACAGATCTGAGAGAAGGTCTAGTGACCCTGCTTGAAGTGGTCAAATAGCACTTGACAAACCTCATGCTTCTCACCTCCCACATGAAGGGTTAATTTATAACTTTGGAGGCGTTGTCTGCTGCGGCTGCTGGAGATAAATGAGTGTCCTTTAGACTCTGTGAGTGCATCAATATTTAATGTGCCTGCTTAAATTAAACTCCAGTCAAACTACTGATTTTTCTCCTCACCTTGCTCCCCCTTCAATCATTAATGGACATTTTCCGCAAGCGAGTTAACAAAACACCTACAGTGGCCTTTGCACATGCTGGCCTTACCCTTTCACTGCAGACTCTGTCCTCCCATGCTGATTGCATAAGGACTGAAAAGATACAAAAGGATGCTCCCCAGCCTGGACCACAGTTTAAAAAACAATAATTGATCAAATACTTAGAATTAGGTTATGTTTTGAGGTTTTCCTTCACTGCACAATCTGGACCTTCTTTAAAATCAAACAAGCAAATAAACAAACAAAAAAACCCCAACCAACCCCCACCCAAACCTGCTGCCTCTTGACCCAGGGTGATAATCCTTTTGATCAGATTTAGGGTGTTCAGCACCAGCTACATTCCTTGCTGGGAAGGAGCCCTTCCAAGCTGGCTGTTTCAATACCCTCTAATTTTTCTCTCTGTACCTCCAGGAGCTGCTGCTAGAGCACTGGCTGTGAAGTAGAGAACATTCCTCAATCATCTGTTCGCTGGTACAGCTGTGAGTGACCCAGAACAGCACATCCTGCAATCATGGTGTACCAAAAATCAGGTAAAATTTAACTAGCTGCTGCTCTCATCCCTGGTCATGCTACACAAGTACCTTTATCCTTTGGAATCTTAGACCCCACAGGCTGAGGGGGAAAGTGGCTTATAGAAATTATTCAGTGTTTTACTTTATTTTCTGTTTTAAATGAGGATTTAAGAATTCTGGTGATGTGTGGGATGAAAGTGTGGCTGTGAATGGTGCAGTTGTAGCACTGTTACAATTCGCTGGGCCTTGGAAGGCCATGTAGGAAGGGTTTCTGAAGGGAAGAAATGAGAAGATTAACTAGTGATGTGAAATCTAAGCTGAATGGCAGTTGCCAAAATACTGTAGGCCAAGTGACCAGAAACCTAGAGTTGAACAGAGCTGCATTGCTTGTTATGAAACCAGGGACAAAGGAGACATGGAGGAGGGACCATTTCCTCTAACCTTGTTTTCTGTAGCTGGTTTTCCCAGTTCTGTTCCTTGCCAGCAAGGCTGGCCTCTCAAAATTATGGTATGCACTTGACTGGCATGTTCATATTAAGAACAGGTTTAAATGGAAACAGGGGACTTGTCATTAGGGGGACATCCAGAGAAGTTAGAGTAAAGCAATTAGGGTCAATATGCATTCACTTAAAGTGCATAGTTATTCTCAAATGGGGTTTCTTCTTCAGGTCCAAAGCTGCCTGTGATCTGAACTTGGTTAGGTTTACATCTGACTGGGCTTCCTTCCTCTGCATGAGGATCCAAGGAGTGCCAATGTACTCCTGCCACTGATGTGCCTTTACTCTTTTTCATGTGCCTTAATTATTCTTGTACAGCTAAACCATTGTGAACTTGTGAATACACTAATTTTTTTCAGATGCTCATGACCAATTTTGCTAGAATGAAGTGTTTAATTTTAGAAGATTGTTTTTTAAGCTTCTGTATCAAGCACAGATACTTCTGTATCTGTAATGGGAACTGGAGCTTTAGATGCACTTGTTTGTAAGAAGGTTTTGTATTAAAGTGTAGGAAAGAGCACATCTTGGACAGTTAATTCAGAGTTGTTGTTTCCCAGCCATCTCTTGTGTGGCTATGGGAAGATTTCACTTACCCTTTCAATTTCAGCCTGTGTCCTGAAGCCCAAGAAGCAATCAAAGTAAACAGTGGCTGTTTACTGTCTGGGCAGCTGTCTTCAGTCATTTGTTTCAGCAGCTCCAGTGCACATGTTCCCAAAATGCTGTGCTTCCCAAAGAAATCTGTGCAAGCACAAGCTAGCCTAACTTTTCCTAATATCTGTAGCAGTTACCTAGGCATGGAATTTAAGCCTACTCACCTTTTTTATTGGTCTAATGCATATGCAGAGTAGTTCATTCCTTTTGCTTCACAGCACCCTCTTACAGTTCTTGAAGTTCTATGATGTTTCCCTGTTCCTTCTGTCTAGGTTAAATGCCATTTATTTCAGTTCTCGTCCCTGGAACAGTTTTCTAGAGCTCTCGGAGTTCCTGTTCTCCTTTCTTCCCCCCCACCCCCCTTCAGCTGGCTGCCCTTTTCGACATGAGATACACAGCACAACCCAACACCAGCTGGGACGTCTTAGAAGTGAGGCTTGAGTTTATGTCGTTCTTCTGTCAGTCCTTCCAGTAGCAAGTATTGATTTTGATATTTACCTGAATACTGTGAGGCGTGGATCAAGACACTTTCAAAGACAGTTGGAGTTCACAAGCCTTTGTGAATATTGCATGAAGGAGTAAGTCTGGAATGCAAGACTGAAAAGGAGAATGGTGCCATACCTGCAGGAACTGCAGAGGCTGTGAACAGCTGAGGTTGCATCAGAATTTCAGGTCTAGGAATATTTCAGCTCTCAAAATTTCACTCAGCTCAGGGAATGTTTATCTTTCCACCTGCAGTGTGTGGTTACCTGAGCTCTAATTGGGTAGAGGCAGCAGCAGAGCTGTCACCCTGAGCACGCCCGAGGTGGGGGCTGATACTCGCTGGGTGTTCAGCAGCTTCTGCGGCAGCCTTTGCAGCCTGGAGGGTGAGCATCGCAGGTGGCTGAACTTGCGCGGCTTGCCGGCCGCCCTGCCGCGTGTGTGACAGCGCTGGACGTGCCATGCACACGGACCCGGCCCGGGGCTCCCATGAGGCGGCCTCTGAAGGCAGTGGGTGCGCTGATACACGAGTGAGTTGTCTGTCCCCCGAGCGGGCAGGCTGGGGTAGCAGTGCCGCATGTGCGCTGCCTGCATCGCTGTCTGCAGCGCAACTTTGCGGGTTTTGGCACGGCTGGTGCGGGAGCCAGCGCCCCTGCCCGTCCTGCGGCCGCTCCGCCGCCCCGGGGACCCGCGCGGTGTCGGGGGAGCCCGGCCTGCGGCTGCCTTGGGGCGAGGAGCGGGGATGGCGCTGGGGGTCACCGTGCCTCAGGCTGCTGACAATGGGGGGCTGCGCTGGGGACGGGCACCCGGCGGGCGGGGAGCCCGCGGTGAGCGCCGCTCTCGGGGCTCGGGGGCGGCTCCCACACGGCTCCGGGCTGGGGGCGACCCTCGGCCCGCCTGTGCCCGGCGGGAGCGGGGCAGGAGCAGGAGCGCGGCAGGGCAGCGTTGGGTGGCGGAGGTGAGCCCGAGCCGAGCGGCCCCGCCTGCCCGGAGGGGCGGGGGTCGGGGCGGTCCCCCCGCGCCGGGGCTGCGGGCGGAGGCGGCGGCGGCCCCCGGCAGCTCCTCCCCCGCCCGAGTTACAACCGGTTCGTGCCGGCCGCGGCCCGCCCGCCGCGCCGCGATGCGGGGCTGCCCCGGCTCCCCGGGGGCGGCTCCGGGCCCCCGCCCCACGGGCCGCCCGCCCGCAGGTAACGGGGCCGGGACCCGCGATTCGGGCGGGGGGACTTTGGGGCGGGGGCGGCAGGACGGACAGACCCCCCCGGAGGGGCCGCTGCCCCCGGTTCGGCCCGGCCCGGCCCCGCTCTGCGGCGGGAGCTGCCCCGGGAGCTGGGGCGGGGGCGGCCGGGCTGGGGCCCCGGGGCGGCTCTGCGCGGTCTGCGGGGAGCGGCTTCGGGAACAGGAACGGGAGCGGATCGTGCCGCCGACCCGGAGCGAGTGCATCCGTTGCGGTGCCCATCGGCGAGCACCCCTCGGTGTGGCTGCGGTGCCTCCTGATGCGCCCTGTTTATCTGGTGGGCACTGGGCGGTGTGCGACATCGGCACCTGCCGCGGGCACATGGCAGCGGGTGCCTGTCGGTGTTTGTGTGCCCATTGCCGGAGCCCACCGACCCCCTGTGTGCCCATTACCGGAGCCCACCGACCCCCGTGTGTGCCCATTGCCGGAGCCCACCGACCCCCGTGTGTGCCCACTGCGGGCTCCCCGTGTCGCCCCGGCGGCTGCCCCGGAGCGGGCACTGTGTCTCGGCCGCGTTGCCATCGGCACGGCCAGGGCGACCTTCAGTCACCTCCCGGAGCGCTTCAGTCCCGGCGCGGGTGAGCGCTCCCCGTCGGGACCGGCCCGCAGCTGGAAGGCGTCAATGTGTAACGGGGACTGTGGGCTGGCCCCGAGGGCGTGGGGAGAGGCGAGGCGAGCAGGGGGCTATAAGAGGCCGTGCATCCCACGGAGACCCTGCCAAGGGTGCGCACGGACCGGGGAGCGGATGCTGAAGGGAAGCCTCGCAGGTTGGGATGCGTGAGGCGTCGCGCATCGTGCTCTCGGTTTGCGGAGCAGATCTCTGGTAAATCATGTTGGCTCGTGGTTTCTAGCAGCGCTGGCTCCTATCTGCCCGCATGGATGCGTGCTAGTGACCGACAGGCACTAAAGTTGTGCTTTCGGGGGGTTTCCATCTGCTCTGGAGCAGTGAGGCTCTGGGAACAGGTAGGACTGGTTCTGCTGAGCTGACAGATTTGTACAAAGCTGACTGGTTTATGTGCTGCCCCACTGATGCTTCTTAATGTAAACTAATTTTGCACTATAGAAAAACATTATTTTGTTGTTGGTAAGTTTTGTTCTGGTGGTATGTTTTGTTTTAAATTTCACACTTCTGTGTCATCCATGAGAAATAGAAGGAAACATTGATATTGACAACTCTCTTATTGAACTGAGAGAAGGGCAAGTAGAGAAATGTGACAAATAGGCAGATCTGAATATTGAGAACTAGAAGGGAAATACATATTTGTGTTCAGTGTCACACAGGAAGCTACTGTACTTAGAATACCAGTTAAAGTCAGATATCGTGGAAGTAGAGATGTGTCTTGCAGTGAATTTAATACAATGCTTGTGCAGTTGTGTCAGTACACGTGCAGGTGTTGGATATGATGAACATGTTAAAAGCACCTATAACGCACCAGTCTCATGCTCTACGTGTTACTTGCAAGCTAAGGGCAGCAGAAATTTCAGATGATAATTGCAAGGACTTCCCTGAAAAATAAACAGAAATTTACAAGAAGTCTGATTCAGCTTAAAACGAGGGATGTTACTTTTCAGGCTGGTACCGTCTTGCTTTGTAGCAGAGCCTTGCAAAACTCGAGGAGCCCAGTGTTAATCACGCAGTGTGTGTGCTGACATCAGCTCTCTGTGCAGCCATGTGCTGCTCACAGAAAGCTCCGCACTTCCCCGGGCTCTGGCTGCACAAAGAACCAACTGGAAACAATCACACTGCTACTGTCTTTCTCAAGATTCCCTTTGCCACAGATTAATACAAGTTGCAGTGCTGAGGGCTAATGTTTCAGTGGTGCTCATGTTCTTTTTTTGTGCTCATCTGTCATCTTTAAGCCAAATTCTAAGATTTATAGGAAGGGAGTTCAGTGTTGTGATAATGGTGCTCAGAGCAAAGCAAATAGTTGCAGCCAGACACTTCTCTCTTTCCACATTGAAGCTGTTGTTCAGTTTGTTCTCTAGAGTTTCTTTTTGTTGTGGTTGGTAAAGGCTTTCATCGAGCAGCTCTCTTCCTCTGATTCTTATTCGCAGTGAGTACAACTCACTGAAAAGCTTTTTCTCACCAAATTTCAAGTTACTATTCAATTCTTTATGCTTCATGTCTCTTTTTCAGTATTTTTAATTTAATTTGGTTTCCTGGAGCCTCAAACAGTATCCCTAGGCTTAGTGAATAGAAGGGTTTGGGAAACTGTTCTACCTGAATCCTGAATCCTAAACAGTTGTTTATCTGTTACCAGGATCACACAAATCTTCCTGGTTGGTTCTGAGACAAAAACCCACAACTATTGACTCCCCGCACTCCCTTCTGTGTGAGCTTCTGTGTCTCCATTTTTGGTGCCCACATTTATCTTTAGAGTTTGTGTCCTCCTTCTACACAGACAGAAAACAGGGAAAGGCACTTTGGATCCCTCCCATGTGGATGCACAGATTTGATGTCCATGCAAATTTTAATTCTCCCTGTCAGTTCTTTTCCCTGCTACCAAGCTATTACAGTACAACCTTCCCTTTTGGAGAAGCATTAAATAATGTGCCAATGGAAAGTTTAAATCCATGGTCCCAGCAGTGGCTTGGTTGTGCAGGACATCTTTAACTATGATAGCAGAGGGCTCTGGGGAACAGGCTCCTCATGCAGCTCCCTGCTCTCTGTGGCCTTGAGCCTTCAAGGGAGTTAGAAAATACCTCAGTTTAGGTATCAAGCACACGGTAGGGTGAGGTGAAGGAATTACCTGCAAAAACAGGAGAGGAAGGGAAGGGAAAGCCAGGTCATTCAAAAATGACCCTGGGATTTTATAGACCTGTTATACCCCAGAGGATGATTTCTGGGGAAATTATGTTTGTTTTTTTTTTTACTTTTTGCCCAACAGTTGTGGACTATAAATGGCTTGGAGCATTCAGAGAATAGAGATGGTTGATACCTAAAATTTTGTTATTTAACTAAAAGATGCAAAAGAGATCTATGATGCAAAGTAGGAGTTGTCAGCATGTAGAAAGTTAGAACTTCTACTGCTGTAAATTTGGTACAGTTGGTTAAATTCAATTATACTCTGCAGCATTGCAACAGGTGACAAACTAATCCAGAGGTTTTTAGTCTTTCTATTAGAAGAGACTACGTGACCTAAGTCTACAAAAACTTTTTTCTCTTCTGCCCAGTCCTTGCTTCCTTCCCATCAAATGTTTAGAATAGAAGAATTGAACTCAAGACTTGTCTTTGTGCTAAATTTTAGAGCACCAATATAATGGAAATCAAGGTAACAGCTAAAATGTGTTTGTTTTCTAAAGTATATTTTTAAACAAATATGAATTGGGGCTATTCACTGTCTACCTCCATTATTGTAGAGTTTTTCTGAAAACTTCCTTGCTTTGTCTCATTGTCTGCTTTTAAAGCTGTTACTTATTTCCACTATTTTTTCCTCTAGGCAGGGACAAAACAAGCCAAGTGAAAATTACTTAATTCATGGACAGATGCATAGGTCAGCTCTTGGGGACTGCATTCAAATAACTCAAATATTTCATGCAGAAATACAGGGATCCCTTTTTGTGTAAAAGGTATTGTTACAGGAAAGTGCCTGTAGCTTCTGGCTATCCCAGCTGTCTCCCTTGCATCTCACAGGATCGAGGGACACTCACCAGGCATTGGAGTGAGTCAGAATTTACATTTATTAGCTGAAACAAATAAGTTTGTAGCATTTGCAACTGGTGTATCTTCAAGGACAGTCAGTATATTAAAATTGTAAATCACTCCCAAAGGACCCAGGATGTCAAAATGTATTTCACATTAGTGGGCAATGTTTTTGTTATTTGAGGGCCCAAGGCTGCTGTCAGATGTTAATTAATTGCAGGAAATCAGTACTTCTCCACTGAGATAACTTGTTTGCTTTTGAAGTTCCTCTAGGAAGATTTTAAAAAGAAGAAATTTCATGTGAAGCCTCCATTTTTTCAGAATAGCGTTAACTGTTGCAGTGATATGTTGGCTGAAAATTTGCTTTGTTGTTTTTCTGCAGGTGGTTGTCACATGAAGGTACATTTATAAGAAGCTGACAGATTTTTGCCATCATCTGTGAGTATTTACCCTTAAAGTCACATTTAAGTGTGTTTGCAAACTAGAACTGACCTTTTTCATGTGTCTATACAATTCCTCAAAATGTTATACTACAGAGCTTTTGTTAAGTTCTCCATGCAAATTCTTAAAAATTGCCCAAGAAAAGGGTGTGAGGAGCTCAAATGGGAATTCTGTTATTGTCTGCTTGTTTTCCCCATTGCTTTCATACAGCAGTAATTTTTTTCCATTTCCTCTGGGTTCCTAAGTCAAAAAGGCAGTGCGATGCATTTATTTTTCTGCTTTGCCTCTTGGGAGTCTCCCAGAGCAGAGCTGTTACTGCAGCAGTCTTAATGCTTGAGCTGCAGTGTGGAGGTGGTCCTTGAGAACATTTCATAAAGGAAACAGGGTAAGATCTTACCTCTTTCTATCTTCCAGGGTGAAGGAAATAAAACTATTGATAATTATATATCTGGTTAGTGGCAGAGCCAGGAGCAGAGCATGTGTTTTGTATTCATCAAATTTTATTCATCAGATTGCTCCCTGTAGGGAGGGAGGGCAGGCTGGCTGTGTGCACAGGGAGACTTCAGAGCAATGTAGCCTGGAAAACCTCTAAATTTTCCAGATTTTAGAAGTACTGATCCCTACATTCACACTCTAGTCTTGAGAAGATGTGAGCGTGGTGTGTTATTTAAATACACAGGTGATGGGTTGGGCCATGCCCAGGAGCAAGGTGGTGCTTCTGGAGTCCAGGCAGTGAGTGCCAGGCTGGGGAAGGCTGATGATATGTGCAGAGGGCAGACACTCTAACAGGTTATAGCAGATTTTTGTATGCATGTTTGCTGCTGTCATGCCTTGGCATATGAGCCACACCTGTACACAGTCTTAGAGCTCACTTCACTAATATACTCAAAGTGATTTTTGGATGCAGCTCTCTACACTTTCGCTTTGTTGACAGAGCAGAGTACTTAACTGTTAGTACTGCCAAAATGTCAGTCTTCCTCTTGATCTGCCCCTCTCAGAGTGCACTATCTGGTGGCAAACACATTAATAAATGGAGAGATACTGTGCTGAGAGTGAAACTGAGTATAGATTTTTTTCTCCTTTTTTAATATTCATGGCTTTAACAGCAGGTGACTGTGGGGCTCAATTGCTGAACCACGGCAGATATTATTGCCTGAAGTTTTCACAGAGCTTATTCAGCACTCAGCAAATGAAATGCTTCTCTTTCATGCAGCGCTGGTGTATGTCCAACTCATGATGCTTTAGGTGCTGCTGTTCTGTTAGCCAGCAGTTCCAATTTCCCCTGCAGTGTGGCATTTCCAGCTCCCGCTGCCGGTGTGCTGCAGCTGAACCAGGCCCTGGCTGAACCTGCCAGCTCTGCACAGCTGCCCTGTGCTCAGGCAGGTTTCTGACCCTGCTCCCTCTGGGTTTTGTCCGCACAGGTGCTGCCAGGATGGCGTTTCGGAAGCCACCGGATGGAGGCTGGGGCTGGGTGATCGTGGTGGTTTCCTTCTTCACCCAGTTCCTGTGCTACGGGTCACCGCTGGCGGTGGGAGTCCTGTACCTGGAGTGGCTGGATGCCTTTGGAGAGGGGAAAGGCAAGACTGCTTGGGTTGGATCGCTGGCCAATGGAATTGGATTGCTTGCCAGTAAGTGCAGAAGCAGCATCCGTCCTAAATTGAAATGTTTCCAATTGATGCTTTCATCTCTTGGAATTGTATCAAAGACAGCTGCAAATGAGGGTGCTGCATTTTTCTTTTAGGTTTATATTACATTTATAGTTTCCTTTATAGTTACATTTATGCATAAGCCAGAGGAATATAATGTTAAAAGAGCAAGAAAAATATTCCCTTTATTCAAATACAATCATTTTGAATTTTCTAAACTAGAAAAGTCACACTCTAGAAGCTGAACAGTAATCTTGTTGATGCATTTTTTTTAAATGAGACTTTAAGACTAACATTTATATTATTGTCTTAAAATCAGAGCAAGCTGTTAGTCCAAAATGGTTCAAGTGCTTTATGAAAAAAGTCAATAAACGCGTTACTAATTTTTCAGCTCTAGCAGTAAACCTACCCGTGAGGGTGGGCGAGGGCTCCTTTTCATTCTTTATTTGAGAAAAAACTCCCTTTGAAGGCTGGAAATTTATGGGTAACAGTAGCATTAAATAAGACAATTTTCTGGAAGATTTTCTGTAGTAAAGCATTGTCACTTGGAGAGTAACAGCAGAATTTTAGGGAAATAAAACCCACCTTGGCAATTCCTAGGTTGTTGTTTTAAGATCAGGCATGGGTATTTACTGTGTCATATCAATAACTTCTGTTTTTCAAAGATTTACCATGGGAACTATTATCTATTTGCTGGATCTGGAAAAAATTTCTTGTCAGCAGGGAAGCTGCTACAGGCAAAAGCAATAATGTGGTTTAATGGACAAAATGCAGCTCAGGATCCTGAGGAAAATCTCCTCAAAAGAAAGTTGATGTTCCAACAGCAATACAGACCTGAATAAAGAGCACTGCTCTGTGTGGCCCTGGAACTGATCAAGTAGTGGTGTCACACCTGTGTTGGGGCTTTTTACCACCAGGCAGAAGAGAAATGGGCAAAGGCAGGTGGATCACTGAGCACAAAAATACTCTATTTAGTCTGAGGGTGTTATTGGATAAAGAACTGTAGCTTGCTCTTTCATCATCCTTTTTTAATTTTCCTGTGTTATGGGTATTAACTCCTGCTATTCATCAAGACCTCAAAATACTTGAGTGAAAGAGTGAAGTGGGGGAAAATAATGATAAACAAGGTAATTGCTGAAGGAAAAACTAGGCAGAAGGAAATTCAAGAGAACACCCTTTTAGGAGTCCAGAGGTCTCTGGCTCTGTTAAGAGCCTCAGTCCCCTCTCCCTTATGTCAGCACTGTGCTTGTTTCCAGATGTTAGTGCCCTCTGACTTGCTGCTGTGGGCAGTTCTCAGCACTGTGCTTTGTAGCTGGCTGTTTTTTGGCTGGGGTAGAGTTCATTTTCTTCTCAGTGGCTGAGTACAGGGTTGATAATGAAGAGATGTTTCTCTTATTGGTGAGCAGGGCTAACAGAGCCAAGGTCTTTCCTGTTCTTCCTGCTGCCAGGCTGGTGAGGAGACTGGGGGTGCACAGGAGGTCAGGAGGAGAAACACCCAGGACAGGTGACCCCAAGTGACCACAGGGATGTTCCATGCCATGTGACATCATGCTCAGTAAATAAACTGGGGGGAGAAGGAGGAAAGGGGGGATTCTTCTGAGAGATGGCATTTGTCTTCCCAAGTCACCATCACATGTGATAGGGCCCTGCTGTCCTGGAGATGGCTGAGCTTGCCCTGCCATGGGAAACAGTGAATGAATTCCTTGGTTTGCTTTGCCTGCATGCAAAGTGTGCTTTGCTTTCCCTATTAAACTGCCTTTATGTCAGCCCAGGAGTTTTCCAGCTTTTACCTTTCTGAGTCTCCTCTTTCCTGCTGGTGGGGGAGTGAGATCGTGGCTGCGTGGGCTTGGTTGTGGCAGAGGTTAAACCATGACAGCAGCTATAATAATGATGAATAATGCAAATCAATGATGAGTAATACAAATCAAAGGTGCTCTTGTGACTGATTTTGGTATGGAATGATTAAATGAAGGTTTGACAGGTTAGGAGGAGTGCTGTCTGTCCATGTGATTTTATTCTTTCAGTTTGGCATTCAGAAGCTTAATAATCATTCCTACCCTTTATGCCTTCAAAAGAAAGTACTGGGAGGGTCCTTTAATTACACTGATGTTATCAGAGTTGACTGAAAACAAAGTCTATGTTCCCAGCTTTACCTAAAATGGAAGTTCCCACTGCTTGTCAAGCTGGGTTCTGACCCTAATGATAAATCTACTAAATTTCCTCCTTAAAAGTAAGCAATTTTATGGTACAAGTTGTTTAGTTTTAGTTTTCAGCTGATTAATAATGTTAACTTCAAGTGGTGTATTTTGAAGTGCCCCTTGATTAGTGTGATGGATGTCTAGAAAATGTCATCAAATTTCTTCTAAATTTTCATTAAAGCCTGTAACTTGATACAGTCTTTTTGCCAAGACTCCCACACTTTTAATTAAGGCTCTACTGGAGAGCCATTAAGACTCTTCTATGGGCTTTATTCAACTTAACATCACCTTTCTGAAGCTGTAGATACCAGACTGGAAGAGGAATGACAATTATGGTAGATTAGCAGCCACAGCCAGGAAATAAGTCAGAGTCCATTTTCTTAGAAAGACTTTTCTCATTGATACCACTGGCAATCACATTCACCAGCTTTTCTAACAGAGAAAGTTGGGACCAGTGACTCTGCTGTATTAGTACTGTCATTTCACCAAACCCAAGAAGATATATATAGCATCTGGCACAGAAAAAGGTTCTCTGTCTTCTCCCCTTCCTTCTGCTGGTATAATCTGAAATTTCTTTTCAAGCAGCTGATGCTGGTGAGCACTTTCATGTTTGCTGAGTTGGTATCCTTTCTAAAATGTTTACTTCTGACTTCTGTGGGAGCTAAACTTAGACTGGAGACATAGAAACCCAGAACAGCACCTTGTTTATTTGGATCCATTTCCTGGGCACCTGGTGTTCGATTTCTGTCCTTTTGCTCGCAGCACAGACGGTGCTGCTGGGGCCAGTGTCCAGCCTGAGCTGGAGAAGGGAATGGGGCAGGGATCCTGTGGGCTCCTCCTCACAGGACAGCTTGGGTTGTGACTTTCTGTGAGGAAACCTTACAGAGAAGTGCAAGAAATGTGCCTAGAGGAGTGACAGACAAGCATCAGTGTTGCTGTGGGAGGCAGAGGTGAGAGCTGCCCTGCAGAATTAGGTGTTATAACATTGGTCAGGCTATGGCAGATGGGACACGGGGCTCTAGAGCTTCTTCAGCAGGAAGAAATTGAAAAAGCTTAGTAGGTTTCCCTTACTAAAACAGGCCAGAGGAGGATATTTATATATATTCTTGAACATCATGTGTTTCTTCTGCACCAAATGTTCTTAATTTTGCATCCATTTGGAGCCTGAAATTAAATTTAATCCATGTTCCACTTGTTAAAAGCAAAACAAAGACCTTGGCGCCTGTAATTGGCACCACAGCTGTTTATAGTAAGGGTTGACTTCACAGTCCTTGGCATAGGAAGAGAGAGCAATGTCTCCATTCCCACTTCCCTTCATTAATGGAGGGAGAGCAAAGGGAGGATTCTCTCTTGAAAGGCACGCCTTGATAATTTGATGGGGTGTTTCTGCTGATCTGAGGCATGCAGTGCTAGATGTTTAAAAAGCTTAATTTTGTGTTTTCAAGCAATAATTTTACTACTCCATAACTTTTACTACTCTATGACATCAATTATACCACTTTATTTTGCAGCATCTACATATTTTTGAACACAAACCTCACACAGCCATAGCCCCCACTGTAAAGTATGGATGCTGTAAATAGCTTGTGCACAGGGGAGAAGGGTGTCCCCAAGATTCCTCTGAAAAAAAGCCCAGTTCATATAACAAATTTTTTTAGAAAGGAAATATCTTTCCAATCAGTTGGGAGTGGTTTGCTGCCCAGTGTGAAAAGCTTTTTTTTTGATCTATATTCATATCCAAAGTACAAGCATTTGGAGAATGTTATGTTTATTATAACCAGGTTTTAGAAATGTACTTAATGCACAAAACATATTCTTGTATTCTGTCCAGTGGATTTTAATGCAGTCCGTGACCATTTTTTCTACTCTACAGTTTCAACAGGCTCGGACAGATGCCCAGGTAGGGTGGGTCAGATTAATGCAGATGATAAGAAAAAGAACTCAGTTGTCCAATACAGTTTGTTTAGCAAAAGGTTTTGTATATGAGGTGAAAGAAGGAGGATCCTTGAGATTAGTGAGTGGAGTGGAAGGAGGGAATGTTGTTGTGCAAGGTATTTTTTAATGTGAAAATATTGAGGAAGAAAGAGCTAGTTCTTGATGTCCGTAGAAGAAAACAACTTTGTGCTTGTCAGGAGGTCAGCACATTTCTGCAGGTTTAAGTTCCTAAGTGCAGCAGTTGCCTTGTTTGCATGTCTCAGGAAGTACTCACAGACACGTCCAGGTCTCACTGAGGGTAAAGTACTTAATTCAAAATAATTTTAATAAAAATACCAATGTACAAATTATCCCTCCTAGGTGTTCTTCCTCTTTGGTCCCCCTGTATGAAGATCTCCTGTGAAAACCAATCTTCCTTCTGCTTCCCATTTTGTCTGGGGATCTTGTTGACTGCTCCCCTGATAATTGTGCTGCTGACTGCGAGCTGTGACAGGTTGTGTGCAGAAGAGCAGTGTCTGTTCCTGTGCTGAGTCTGTCTTCCTAGAGTTAGCTGTCATTCCAGTAAACTGTGCTGCTATCTCTTTTTGATTGAGTTTGGTCTAGTTTTAAGATACATCATTTGGAAAGGAAAAAGCCCTAGGGATTTTATTTGTAAAAGAGGTAAATATTTATCAATGTCATAAAATATTGTACTAGTTCCAGTGCTAACCCCTGGAGCTGCTGGCAAACTGAACAAAATGCTGGCTTAAAAGCTATTTTTCATGCTTACTATTGAGGATTGCCACTGGGATTTTTTCATGTTTTTCATATTATGGTGAGAGTCTGCTAATGAAAAGCCTTATGCTGCCTGAAGATCTGTTTCCTGTGTGGCTGTATGCAGACTCCTGCATTCTTCAGAATGCCCACTTTGAGCAAAATCCACAGGGCAGGTCTCAGTCCCACTCTGTGAAAGTTGGATTTTTACTAGAATTTACTGCCTTGAAGCCATTGTGGTTCAAATATTTGTAAAGAATGACAAGTTTGTGTACAGTCAACTCCTGTGCAAATACTGTGGTGATAACTGAAGGTGCTGTGCCTGGTGGAAAAGAAAATGACAGTGCTATGGGAAACAGGGAAGGGGAAGCAGTGCAAGGAGGCAGAGAGGACAAAGATGTTGGCTATCTGGGGATTTTCTTTTGTGACTCATTTTCTAGCAGTGTGACGAGTGTGAAAGTCGTGCCTAGTGTGAATGGGAAGATGGAGCTGTTTTTCTGCTCAACTTGGGGACCTAAAATAATTATTTTAATGTTAACAGTGGCGCTCCTTCTTATAAACAGGGCGGTTGCTGAGTTGCCAGATGTCTTGCTGTGTGAGATGGCAGATTAATGCTGAGCTCTCTGGAGCAGGTTCTTCACTTTTGTGCAGGTTGTTTACCATGTCAGAGCAAAAAGATGTCTTTGTGCTCTTTGTTCTCCTTTGGGATTGGATTTTGTAAGCAGAAAGGCTGGAAGAGCATCTCCTTGGGCCTTGTCAGGGACGCTTTTGTTCATGTTCCAGTAGAGATGTCTTGTCAGGTTATGAAGCCACATCCTTCAGCTGTGTCTCTTGTTCTGGCTTGGGGTCAGAGGGTCCAGTTTCACCTGGGATGCTCTAGCAGGGGTCAGTGATGTCTGTGCCAACATCACCACCCCAGACTGGACAGGGACCTTCTGGGAATAGCTGTGTCCAAATATAGAGAGCAGGTGGAAGGGAAGTGCTATTTGTTTTAGCAAGGTAGTAGGTCAGAAATAAAGAATAGAAAGAGTGCAAATTCCTCTGCTTAATTGTATTATGTTAACACTACTTTATTTTCTTTTGGTGTAGAAGAATTCTTTATACAATACAGAGTCAATCCTTTGTTCATTTTTAAATCCCGTGGTTTTAGGAAACATACCAATCTTAATTTGCCAGTTCTAGTAATTAATTCTAAGAATCAGCAATGTTCTTAGCCTTTGTTCTCAGCATGTTACCCTGCCCAGGTTATGCTGGCCAGCTTTCATTCCCACAGTGTGCTGACTCTTGAGAAGCAATAAGTGCTTAGATCTTCCTTTTTCATTGCTTCCAAAATCCAATTAAACCTTTCTTTCCTGGAATATTTTCTTGATTCCTCTGTAACTCTGACTGTTTGCCTGCATAAGCCCCAGCTCAGACTCACCCCCCTTTATGTTCCCTGGGCAGATAGGGAACATGTACATCTAATGTAGGGCAAAAGTTCTGGCCTGCCTTGCCTTTGAGGATCATTTTGCCTGCTGACAAATCCCTGCTCCTGCCTGCCTGCCTGAACTGCTTGTCCCATGGCTGGCAACCACAGGAAAACCTTGCCTGCATTCCCAGCTGCTCTCTCCTGTCTACAAACCTAGGCAAGCACCATCCCCAGGCTCCAAGTGTTTACCTCGTATCACCTTTCTGGGCTCACCTCCCATCTGCTGGGAATCTGTTCCGTGACTCGGAGCACTAACCTTGGCAAATGGCAGACTCCAAAATTACTGCTTGTGCAGATTGAATCGGCCATGGCGTGTGTGTGTGCATCACTTCACATGAGGTGCAGATGTTGTAAGGTGGTCTTGTTTGTTTGTGTTAAATAATGGCATTCATCTCTGCATCTAACTTCTAATCTCAAAGTTGCTGAACTTAGAAATGAAGCTAACATCCGAGTTTATGTGTGAAGGTTTGAGTTTCAGATAAATTGTCTTTGCAAGCCAAGTCCCTTGCTGGTTGATTATTTATGCAGGGCACCAAGCTTGCATGCCACTTAAGACTAAAAGGTGTATTCCAGGTCACACAGCTGAGAATAAGTGCTTGTTCTACAATTTCTGAGGAGAGAACTGGCTCTGAATAGAGGCAGGGTGTGAATTCTGCCTCACTCTGTTCTTGTTTTGAAGAGCTAAGAGAGCTAAGAACTGAGAAATATTGGGGAGTGAACTTGAATGTTGTTATGGCTGCTCCCAGTAAGTGACTTTGATTTTCTCTAGTTTCACAGGAGGAGCAGAGATAGGTAGTAAAGGGTTCTGTTTAATTCCCTCAAAAATCAGGGAAGAACGATGCTTATCCTTGCCTGGGATGCCAGCAGAGGTTCCCTCTGTGTAAGCACCAGGTGGCATTCTTGCTGTGACCATGGTCCCCAGTGACTGCCTTTGCATTCCAGTTTCATACATTACATACCAAGATGAATGCAGATATTGTGTTTCTGAAATACAGGTTTTGTGCTCTGGCAAAAAATACCTGCTTGCTTAAGGCCTGGCTGATGGTCTGCCTTGGTTTTGTGTTTCAAGATGAAGATTTTTTCAGAGCCTTCGTGCACCTTAGTTCTGTGGTGACAGTCCATAATGTTTTGGATCTCCCTATGTGTAAGGAATGTTTCCCTTGCTCTTTCCCTCCCAGCCCAATGACCCTTTCATGGCCTTGATGTTCAGTTTCTCCCTGAGAAAAATTTTGCTAGGCTGACCATGAATATTTTTATAACTGCTTTAGAGAACCCTGTGGAAATGAGTACTCTGAATTGTTATCTAATATAATTATACATGTAAATAGTTATAATAAGAAACATTTCCACAGATTGATATATTTTTAGAAGTTCTTCCTGGTGCTGGTGTTTACTTGGAATGTTTTTCCTGTTTTTTCCTGTAGGTCCTGTCTGCAGTATATGTGTATCATCTTTTGGAGCAAGACCTGTAGCTATCTTCAGTGGCTTTATGGTGGCTGGGGGCCTCATGATGAGCAGTTTTGCACCTAACATATACTTCCTATATGTTTCATATGGGATAGTTGTTGGTAAGAAACACCATGCCTTCATTTTGAGACTTAGTCTTCATTATTTTGGGTGTTGGTTTATGAATATGAAATGGGAAACTGATTCACAGAGGCAGTAGTAGTCTGAGACTTGATTTATCAAGGAATACTTGATTTTTGGGCAGGGAGGGATGTTGCATGAGCAGGCTGTTACCATGATAAAAATATAGTAACAGCCTGTTCCAGAAACACCTTGCCTTCATTTTGGGAATTAGTCTTCATTATTTTGAGTGTTGGTTTATGAATATGAAATGGGAAACTGATTCACAGAGGCAGTGGTAGTCTGAGACTTTATTTATCAAGGAATGCTTTACTTTTGGACAGGCTGTTACCATGAAAAAAAGATAAAAACAATGTAAATGTTCATGAGGGTTTGAAAACAGTTTATCCTCTGTTGACACAATTGTTAGAGATGGAGAAGCTGAGGTTTTACTGAAGGGCTGGCATCAAGCAAGTCTTCTGCTGGCATGAAATGCCAATCTTAAGGGAATAATATCTCTTCTGGAATTCTGTCACATACTCATTCTAATTTGATAAATTAGGGATCATTAGGGAGCAGTGCTGCTCTGCCCAGAACTGGATTGAACATAAATGCTGTGCTGGAGGCACGAGAGCGCTGCTCTCCTGGCAGGTGGTGGCCTGCCCTCTGTGCAGTCGTGGGTGGCTGATCAAGTTAACTGTGTCAGGCACTCGGGCACCTCTGTGGCCAGCAGGGCACCGTGCCACGGGCAGGCAGCTCTGCCCAGCCCTGGGCTCAGAGCCCTGGGCCCTTCCACAGAGCACAGAGTTCGGCTGGAGCTCCTCAGAGCCAGCCTGCTGCACCCTGCTCAGCAGCAGGGACAGGGAGGTGGGACAGCGCTGAGCAGGGCTAAAGGCACCTCAGTGCCAGGGCACACCATGGCAGCACCTGGGGGATAACAAAGGGCATTCATTCCTAGAGGATGTGGCATGTTTTATATGTCTGTCCCTCCTTTTATGCAGGTCTTGGATGTGGCCTTTTGTACACTGCAACAGTCACCATCACGTGCCAGTATTTTGACAAACGCAGAGGCCTTGCACTTGGGCTGATTTCAACAGGTAGGACTTCAATTGTCATTCTCTCCAGCTCGTCAACTCTGGATACAGATGGATAAGGATGGATACAGCCATCCTTACCCTGGCAATAAAAACCAGAAGATTATGTTTTTCTCAGTAACTTAAGAAAGTTACTACTTTCTTAAATCAAAATATCAGTGGCAATGAAGTGAAAAACTGAGGCTTCAGATAAAACAGTAACTACACCTGCAGGTTTATGTTATGGGCCATCAATATAGATGAGGAAAGGATATTCACTGAAAACAGACTCATGTAGCTTAATCTGCATGCCATGGATAATAAGGGGAAACATTCCATAGAGTCTTATTTTTCCTCTCTGTTCTTACTCAGGATCAGAGGTGAGAAAGAGATTGGAGATGCAGCATACAGATGCTGCATCACCACTACCTCACATTAGCTGTACCTCTACACTTTTTAGTGGCCTGAGTAGGAATGGTTACAGATGGCTCCTGTGCCATGCCTTGCTTTCTGTGTGCCATGGGGTGCCTGCTCTGACCTCTTTGCTCAAGTAGCTGTCAGTGAGGAGACACAGGATCCGTGTAGTCAGTGGTGTGAGATACTAATACCACATCCACACAAGCTGAGTGGAGAGGAGCTTCGGCAGAAATGTTCCTTGGGATCATTTCCAGTGGCTTTGTTTTGCATTCCAGGTAGGTTGCCTTAAAGCCTGATCTTATTGTGCCCTGGTTAATTTTAGTACCTGGAAGGCAAAACAAGCATGGATTTTGTAATTGATTTTTCCTCTGTTTAGCACCAGACAGTCTTCAGCAAATAATTTTAAAGTTCGACATATAAATTGACTTGAAAACCAATGTTCTGTGTCTGTGAGAGGACACCCACTAGTTAAAATGGATATGTGCTTACTTCAACCAAGAGTCTTTTCTTTAAATTACTGGGATTGCATTAAATGCTTGTGCTCCTAGTAATTTCTCACTCTTCAGTGTTTTCTTCTGAATGGCCACATGTGCATGCTTAGTCCTGTAGAGCTTCAGAAATGCCTTTGGGATAAACTCCCACCAGGCAAACCCTGCTTCTTAAATGCCAGGCAGTCAAGGGCTGCTTGTAGGAGGGGTCTTGGTGAACTCCTGGTCCATTTCTGCCTGGGAGGAGGAAGGGAAAAATGTTGGAGTAGGAAATTCTAACTGTGCTAACTCAAAATGGTACCTGAAGGGATACATGTATATGAGAGCAGGGCAGAAGAGTGACTTAACAGTTCTTTGATGTTTTTAATCAGATATAGTATTGATCCTGCTTGTTTATGAAGTGCCTGCTAGTGTTATTTGTCACAAAGTGTTCAGATATTTTGGGAGATTTTTTTTTGTGCTGTTGCTACTCAACAAAGGAACTGTAACTTCAGGAGGGATGATGATTTACTGGTTCATTAGACTTGGGAGAGAGGAGCACAAATGAATTACCATTCCTGTGGCAGTGTATTCATAGCTGCTGAATTGTGGAATTTTGTTGGAGTTGAAGAATGGTCTTGGTTCTTCAGTTTAAACCAAATTTATTTTTCTTTTATAGGGTCAAGTGTTGGACTCTTCATATATGCAGCACTGCAAAGAGAGCTTATTGAGCTGTATGGACTGGATGGGTGTCTGCTAATAGTTGGTGCCCTGTCTCTAAATATATTAGCATGTGGCAGCCTAATGAGACCTTTGGAATCATCCAGTTCTCCTCCACCAGAGAAAATGTTTGTAGACAAAGTCCCAGATCAATATTTTGTTTACCATGAAAAGGAAAAGACTGTAGAAGAAAACATTAGCATCCTTGAAAAGGGCTATATTGATGAAAAATCTGTGAACAATGTGCCTGATTGCAAACAGGATATCATTTTGAATAAGAACACATTGAGCTCAATAAACGTAAATGAGAAAGACACTTACAAGAAGAAAGTTGTAGAACAGACAAACTTCTGCAAGCAACTCGCCAAGAGGAAGTGGCAGCTCTATTTGACCTACTGGAAGGAGACCGTGGTTCTTTTCAGGAACAAAGTATTTTCAGCTCTCTTTGTCGCCATCTTGCTCTTTGATATTGGTGGATTTCCTCCTTCTCTGCTCATGGAAGATGTAGCAAGAAGTGCAAACATTAGTGAAGATGACTATTATATGCCCCTTATTTCCATTATTGGCATTATGACGACTGTTGGCAAACTTGTTTTAGGAATACTGGCAGATTTTAAGTGGGTTAACACTTTATATCTCTATGTAACTACCTTAATAATGACAGGAGTGGCCTTGTTTGCAATTCCATTCGCCAAAAGTTACCTTACATTAGCGATGCTTTCTGGGATTTTGGGTTTTCTGACTGGGAACTGGTCAATTTTTCCATATGTAACAACAAAGACTGTGGGGATTGAGAAACTGACTCATGCCTATGGGATATTGATGTTCTTTGCTGGACTTGGGAACAGCCTCGGACCACCAATTGTAGGTAAGGGCAAGGAGTGGATATAAACTGAACATGGGCTTGTCACAACCAGACAGAATGCTTTTGCATGTCTAATAGTAATGGAAAGATGAAATCAAAATCTGCAACAAAAAATAAAAGCTGTTTAGCTGATTATGTTCGTAATTTGTCTTTGGGGGAAAACACATTCCATGTCTAAGAGGTCAAACAGCATTTTAGATTCACCCTATTTAATTTAATTTTATTTTGTTGTTTGGGTGTTTTTTAGTTGTTGTTTCTCTATGTTAGCAGTGCTGTGTTGCATTTCACTGATGAGCTTCTCTGTTATCCCACCCCCAGGCTGGTTTTACGACTGGACGCAGGAGTACAACACTGCTTTCTACTTCAGTGGCTTTTGTGTCCTGCTGGGGGGATTTCTCCTGCTCTTGGCAGCACTGCCCTGCTGGAATGCCTGCACCAATCAGAGCTCCAAGCTGCCTCCAAATACTTACTCCTACAAAGTTGCATCTAACGCTTAGGTGACAACTGGAAAACACTTTGCGCCTTTTTATATTATATAGCAAAGTATTTTAGTAATTTTCCACTTATTTATGAAGCCCACAAATCCTCTTTCCACTAGAAAAATTCCATTGTTGCTTGTTGTTCAGTTTCTTTTTCTTCTTCTATTTCTTTTTTTTTAATGTTATTTTTAAAAACAGTCTTATTTTGTGTACTATGCACCGTTGTTTTCAGCCTTTGTCTACTGTAATTTCCTTTCACCCTGTAAAGGGGGTGTTCTGCTGTATTATCAGCTGTACTTTTTTTAAGGGGGGTTGGTATGGAGGGGTGAACACTTTGAAGCAAAAATGAAGACCTGTTCTTTATAAGAGAAGGCTGTCGTTTCTGCCTCCTTCCATAGGTCTCCAAGTTGCACAATTAGGCTTTACAAAACAAGAATTTGCCTTATTAAAATGTAATACTGTGGCAAGGTGCTTTTAACTTCATGCTTAGATTAACTTTTTTGTCTTTTTGAAGTTTCTCCAATTTATGATTAAGTGCCAATTGTGGGAGGGAGAAGAGGGGAAACAATCAACCTTGTGTTGTATAACTGAAGTGAACATTATGATGAAAGTAAAGATTCTTATTACCACTGCGACTAAGAACCATGTTTATAAATACTGCACATTTTGTGAAGCCTGTTTATAAAACTGTTGAACCAAAACCTTTTAAAACCAAGGAATAAATGTGATTGTTGAAACCGTGAAAGGAAATGCTGACTTGGTTATGCAAGTTTATAATCTTTTTATCAGGGTTGGGGAGACGCTCACTGAAGCCCACAGGGTGAGTGTTTCTAAGCAAGGCACCCAAATTTTGGTGGTTCTGGGGCCCTCTATTGTTATGCAATCACAGTTCAGTGGATTGAAGCTGCTGCAGAAAGGGCTTGTAGGGCTGTTAACAAGGCAGACCTGATTGAAAAGGGGAAATTGTGACTGCAATGTCGTCTCAGCTGTCCTTTTTTTGGAACGGGTATAGCAAGGAGAAAAGGCAGTACCAGAGAGCAAGAGAAAGCATGGGCGAGGGCTAGCAGAAGAGGTTCAGGGAAAGAGTTGCAACACTTGAGCACCAAAGGAGTCAGTGAAAGAGAGCCCTTGGAACCTCCTGTCTCTGTAGCTGCAGGCCAACCCTGCGTGCTGCTGGGTTTGGCTGGCGTGGCTGGGGAACGCCGTGTGATGATGAAGCCTTTCCTGAGCCAGGCAGGAGCTCCAGCACAGGCAGGGTGACTCTGCTCGCTCTGCCCTGCCCCGTGTGCCCTGTGCAGTGGCTTTTGCTCACAGAGCTGCTCTCGTGCCAAGGCTGTGTCTGCACAGCAGTGACAAATCTCCCCATGGGCAGCACGTCCTGTGCGCTCTGGCTTCTCGCTGCAGCTCTGACGTTTTGCGGAGAGTGTTGCAAGACTCGGGTGAGGTGGAAGCTCTGGGCCCTGAGCTACAGCCTGCAAATGCCCCAGTAGATCTTAGCAGTGCTGTGGGCTTCACGTGGGTGATGTGGTTCTGGCTCGTTAATAATTCTCAAAGTAAAAGCCCTACATGTAAGGAACAATGTATGTTGTTGAAGTGCTGTGCACGGAGTTACTCTGTTTGCACACCTCATTAGGCAAGAGGGATGCAACATCTGAGTGGGGCAGACCTACGTGCAGAAATGTTCCCTCCTCTAGTCCAAGGCAGGAAAATCCAGCTTGGCTTCAAACAGTTTTTGCTGACTTTCTGGGATTCACTTTTGTTTGTTTGATTGTATTAAAACATGACAAAGATGCTAGTTTGTCACTTTATTTTTTTTTCCTTCCATTTTTCAGCTGAGTGTACCATGTGGGTACACTGATTTCTTCCTGATTTGCTTATTCAATGCATGTGGAAAGAATATTGAGTATTTGGATAGCTATAAATGCAGCTCCAGTCCTAAATTGGAGTCCTGGGTATCTGATTTGGATTTGCACCCATTTTATGTGCTCTTATGGCAGCTGTAGTCGTATTTCATCACATGTATATAAAAGTAATACCATGTTTTACACATCTTAAAGAAACTGTGGGGATATCCTGGGCATGATCAGGGCATGTATGCCTTTAGATTCTTCTTTTAAAAGCTCACTTCCTGCCAACAATACATTCTCAGTCCTTTAAATATGAAACTGATGTTGAATTAGTGGTCGGTCTGAAAAAACGCAGCTGGAATTAATGCAAATGATTAGGTGGTATGTAGCACACTCTTGCAATGGAAATGGAGTCTATTATTAGGCAGCCTGAGATGTGTGGAAATATGACTAGTGATCTGTAACAGTTTCCTGATGTAACCCTACCCAGCAGTGAGGAAAGAGCCCTGACTGTTAAAGAATATATTTGCCACTGCAAGCAATATGTGCTAGGACTCCTTGCCCCAGCCAGCTGAGCACTGTGCTTTTATTTATCTTGTCTTTAACTGGTAAACAAGATGCAGGATTTAAATGTTTTGGTTTTCTGTTCTAGTTTTGCAGGGCTCCTTTCCAAGAAGATATTTCCAGAGATGCTGGAACTTAAATTTTATCTGAGAATCTTTCCTTCTGTCTTCATGCTTCATTCAAATAATGAACCCATAGGGTTAAATGTATTTTAGAAGATGGCAGGACAGGTACAATGTGATAATCTGTGCCTTATTTGCTTGAAAAGTAGGTAATCAGCATTGACAGAGTGATAGGAGTAGGTAGAGGTGGTAGAGGTAGGTAAACAGTTCTGCCATCTTGATTTTTATAGTCCCTGACAAATAGATCTGGAACAGATGGAATCAGATGCTTAAGTAATTACTCTTTATTGTACAAGATAAAGTTATTGTTTATTGCATAAATTATTCAGTTACTGTTGAGTCAATCATGAATAGAACAAATATCTACTTCTATGCAGATCTTATGAAAGTTTATCATAGTTGCTGAAACACAAGACAAATGAAACTGTGAAATATGATTAGATTTAAAGTGTATTCTGTGCCTTGCTGAATTGATGGGCTTTATCATTAGCTGTAGAAAGAGATTACATTCCTTTGGTGGCTGTTAATTTTTCTACATCATGCTGATCCTGGATTCCTGCATCCAGCACTGACATTGAACAATGTGCTGAGTGAGGGCTATAAAAATTGATGGAGATGTTTGCATAGCATTAAACTGACATGGAGGTATTTTTTTATTGGAGAGATGTTTCACTTCAGGTCATTCAGGAGGGCCTTTCACATACACATATGGTGAATATGTTTGGCTGAGCATGATACCAGCCAGATTAAAAATGGAAAAATTAGAAATTATAAGGAAATCCAGTTGAACAGGACAGAGACAGTAGAAAAAGTTGATTTCCTGTGAAACAGAATTTCTCCAACTCAGAGGACTCATTTCAGTGGTGCTTTGCTATAGACTCAATTAAGTTGAAGAGAGAAGTTAAAGACTTGTCAGTCTTCATACAAGAAACAGTCTTTAGAGGTATGTCATGCTCTCTGATTACAACATTCTTTTTTCTTTTTTTTTTTTTAATTAAGATATTTGTTGTTTTAAATGTTTGCTTTTAAGCAATCAAAACAGTTCAGAGGTGATACACACATGCTCAACTTGAACTGTTCTGTATCATGCAATGATTTTGTTGCAGGAACTAAATCAGAGAATGATTTTAGTTGGAAGAAACCTTTCAAGATCCTCTAGTTTAAGCTCTCTGCCATGACATAGTGATTTCAAGTTTCTCAGAGTAGCTGCTGTTCCTGGTTTGTTGTCACTCCCATGGCTCTGTGGGGAGAGCTTGACTCCTTTCTTCTATGTCCTCATTTGGGATGTCCTCACATTTTCTACAACAGCATCTTATGTTAACTTTAGAGTGTCCATAGCTGCTAACAACAACTCTGTTGGTCAAGTTTAACCAGCTGTGTTCAATGTGTGGAGTACTTGCTTGCTTGGGCATTTCTCATAAGTGTTAAATAACCTCATCGGTCCAAGCTGACTTTATTAGCCCTGGTGCCATTTCATGTTTTCAGAAACTAGAGGCCCAGAGATCTGAAATGAGCAACTTGCTGAAATTCTTGGCCAGAGCTATATAAAGAGAATAAAATATGACTGGTATGTACACAGATTTCTCTACTCTGCAGGTGCTCAAGGCTTCATTTGCTGAGGAAAAGAAGTCTTGTGCATGTATGATAAAGAGGAGCTGAGACAGGGCAGATCCTGCAGCTCTCCCTGCTGTGCTGCCTTCTCTTGGCTCTCCTGAGTCCGGTGCAGGTGTTGTGCTGTGTTTGCTGCAGTTTTGAGGGGCAGGAGAGCACATGGCTGGAGTGTGAGGCTGAACATGCAGCCCCCTCCAGTCTGCTCAGTTGGTGTGCAGCAAGGAGCACCATGGAATGCTCAGGGGCTCACTGTGTGCCTCAGGGGAGCAGCTCTGAGCCCGTTCCTGACTGAGTCCCCGTGCTGCTGTACAGGGCGTGGGTACAGTGCCTTTCCAGGCCATAGTTTTGTGTTTTCTGCCAAAGTGCTTGCTTAAAGCATCCAGCTGCATTGTTGTGGGTGCATTGCTGTAAATGTAGTCATAGCACCTCTGAAAATGCTTTTTTCTTTTATTTTCCCAAGAGCAGCTGGATGTTTCTGTGGTGTGAGCTCAGGTGTAATTGCTGGCACACCATGCTGCAGCGTGCTGCATGGCTGGGAAGGACTTAGGGCAGTTCCTGTGGGAGCTGCTGTGCAGCCATGGCCCTGTGCAGCAAATGTGACTGCAGCAAATGCTCCTCTCCTCTGCCTTTGGCTCCATCTTACCTGGCCACAGTTAAACTTGCAAACTCAATTTCACTTAATTCAAATGAATGTCTTTTCCTCCCTTGTTTCTCTCATTGCAGGCTGCAAAATTATCTGCCTAACCTCTTTTCTCCTTTCCTGTGTCACATAGAGCTCATGTTGAAAAGTAAACACGTTTACAGTGATTAACAGCAGAGACTAGATGCAGCTGAGCAACAAGATGAATACCTACACCCTGTTCAGTAAATGGCCAGTGCTCTGACCAACTCTGTATTTACAGATTGTATCTAAATTGTGTGGGTTTTTGTGGTTCTAACTTTAAATTTTGATATGTGAGAGGCATATTAGGTTGGATTAGGTCATGCTGCCTTTCATTGGAATCCAATTACTTTGCTTTTTAATTAAAATGTCCCTGGGTTGGAGTGGCTGTGTCCCTGCTTTGTATTACTTGGGGGTAATTACATCCTCCCAAATTGGGATAACTGAAATCATCTGCAGTAGTATTCTCAGATTCTGTGAATTACAATAAATGCTTTGTACAAGGTTGTGCAAGAGATCAGAAAAATGCTTAATTAAATAACATTTGCTTCAAGTTAAACAGAGTCATGTGGAGGTACTGGGAACAAGTAGGGAACAAAAAATATATTTGTGAGAGTAGGTTTGACAATCTGGTTCCTCCCTGGTGTATCCATGATATGAAATGATTAAGAAGTCACTCTTCTGGGTGTAGGAATTTTAGCTACCAAAAAGATTTCTGGGAGAGGGAGATGGGAAGAAGAGATTCCCCCTGAGCAGACCATTACCTTGTTGCTTTAGAAATGGGAGACCTGAATTTTCATATGACATACTGAATAACTCCAAATAGGGTTTTATCATATCTGAAACTGGGAAAATTGATGGAGATGCTGCTGCCTCTGGGGGGGGGGAAAGGTCTGCATTCTGAGAGTCTTTCTCTGAGTTTTCTCTAATTTTGTTCAAGAAGTA